TCGAGAGCCTCGGCCGCGCTCCCGCCTCCCCGCTGCGCCTCCCTCGCCCCGCGCGCGGCCACCGCGCCAGGCGCCCCTCTCCTCGCAACGGCCCAGGTCCCGGCCCACCGGCGCCCGCCCGACGCCGCCTTCTCAGAAGGCCCGCTCCTTCTCACTTCCCCCCCCCTCCTCCTCCTCCTCCTCCGTAGCCATTTTGGCCCAAGACAGTTTGGGCCCTGGACGTTTTTCATCCGCCTCCCTCGCTTGGTCCAAGCCGCTCCGGCATGGCGCTCTCGCTCGCCTTCGTCGCGCCCCCCGCGCCGACGGTCGTCCCCAACCCGGCCCTCCGCGCTGCTGCGCCGGAGCAGCCGCGTGCGGAGGGCGGCGCCGCGCTCGGCCCGGCCGCGGGCACCGTCGCCCTCGTGGCGGCCGCGGGCGCCGCGCTGGCGGGGGCCCGCCGCCGCGCCACGGCCAGGAGGGCGATCACCGATCTGAACAGCGATTACATCCGCGATTACCCCGTTTACGAGAACGGCGTCAACTTCATCAACAAGAACGGCGGTGCCACGGCGGTGCCCGGCAGCGAGAAGGCCCTGAAGACCATGGTGGGCGCCGGCCCAGAGATCAACGACGGCGAGATCTGGGACCCGCTCGGCTTCTCCAAGCTGTACGACAGAAATTTCGACTTCAACATGGTCATGACGTGGCCGCACGTGCAGTGGCTCCGCGAGGCCGAGCTCAAGCACGGCCGCGTGTGCATGCTGGCGTTTGTTGGCATGGTGACCCAGTCTTTCTTCCAGATACCGGGTGAGCCGCAGGAGCCGAACTACTGGAAAGCCCTGGACGCCTGCTACGCCGACCCCGTTGGCCGGCTCGGCGTGGTGCAGATCTCCGTCTTCATCGCGCTCATGGAGGGGAAGTACTTCCCAGAGGATGCCTGGATCGGCCAGATGGACCGCGAGCCGGGCGACCTCGGCTGGGACCCGCTGAAGTTCGCCAAGAAGCCCGGCTTCGACCTGCAGGAGAAGCAGCTCACCGAGCTCAAGAACGGCCGCCTGGCGATGATGGGCGTCGCGTCGCTGGCCTGCGAGCACGTGCTCCCCGGCTCCGTGCCCCTGCTGTCGGGCGCCCCGGCGCTGGCCCGCGAGGCCCGGCCCGTGGCCACCGCGCCCGCCCTCTGCGGCGCCACGGCGGCGGGCCCGGCCAGGGCGCCCCGGACGCAGGCCAGGTACACCACGCAGACCATCCTGCCGGCGCTCGCGTGGATCAAGACGGGCTTCAAGGAGAGCGACCTCGCCCCCACGGAGCTGAGGGCGGTCAACCTCGGCGGCGTCGACGTGCTGGTGGGCAAGACGGAGGCCGGCAAGCTGTTCTGCGTGGGCAACCTCTGCCCTCACCTCGGCACCCCTATGAGCGAGGGCGCCGACGTCATCGGCGACACGATCGTGTGCCCGCTCCACGGCTCGTCGTGGAAGGTCGGGGATGGCGAGCTGATCGACTGGTGCCCGTCGCCGCCTATCATCGGCCCTCTCACCGGCCTCGTGATCGAGAAGAAGAAGCTGGCCATCTTCGAGGCCCGCAGCGGCTTCTTCGGCGGCGACATTGAGGTTCAGGTCGACACCAACGCGAAGAAGGCCTACGAGGCGGACTACTGGAAGGGCATCCTGGACGCTCAGGGCAAGAACGACGGCACTTACTATTGAGGACCGCGCGCACGCGCGCGCGCGCCGCGTCCGGCGGCGGCGCCAGGTTTTTCTGCGCAGGGGGCGCCCGGAGGAAGCGGGGTGTCCTCAGAGTAGGCGGCGCGAGTCGCCTGCGCCGCCCTCCTCCTCCTCCGCCTCCTCCTCGTCCTCCTCCTCCTCCTCCTGCTCCTCCTCCTCCGCCTTCTCCTCCTCCTCCGCCTCCTCGTTTTTCTCCTCCGCCTTCTCCGCCTCGTCCTCCTTCTCCTCCTCCTCCTCGTTCTTCTCCTCCGCCTCCTTCGCCTCCTCCTCCTCCTCCTCCTCCTCCTCCTCCTCCTCCTCCTCTCTCCTCCTCCTCCTCCTCCTCCTCCTCCTCCTCCTCCTCTCCCCTCCTCTCCCCCTCACGCCTCCTCCTCCGCCTCCTCCTCCTCCTCCGCCTCCTCACGCCTCCTCTCCTCGTCCCGCCTCCTCCTCCGTTCCTCCCCCTCCTCCCCGTCCTCCTCCACCTCCTCCTCTCCTCCTCTCCTCCTCCTCCTCCTCCCCTCCCCCTCCCCCTCCCCCTCCTCTCCTCCTCCGTCTCCGCCTCCTCCGCCTCCTCCTCCTCCGCCTCCGCCTCCTCCGCCTCCTCCTCCTCCTCGCCTCCTCCTCCTCCTTCTTCCCTCCTCCGCCTCCTCCGCCTCCTCCTCCTCCTCCTCCTCGTCCTCCTCGTTCTTCTCCTCCGCCTCCTTCGCCTCCTTCGCCTCCTCCTCCTCCTCCTCCTCCTCCTCCTCCTCCTCCTCTGGCGCTGGCTCCCGCTCCCGGAGGGGCTGGAGGGCCCAGGCGTCGGCGCGGGGCCAGCCCCACAGTGCCCCCCTCGAGCGGGGCTGCGTAAGACGAGGGTGCAGTGGAAGCCCATGCCAGGAAGCACGCTGCTCGCCTCCAGGGTGCCCTGTGTTTCTTGGGGATTTCCGTGGCGTTGGTGCGGACAGCGTGGCGTTCCCACACCAACAACAATGGACGTCCTGGGGTCTCAGGGTTGGGTTTCTTGTGTAACTAAGGCTTCTTGTGGTCGAGTTCATACTGTAGGACGAGGACAAATCCGTTCCAGAGCGTTCGGGAACGCTCTCAGAAAGGTCCAGAGCGCTCTGAGAAGGCCGCGGCGCCCGAGACATTCTCCAGAAACGCTGGATCTCAGAGCTTCTCGACGTATCCTCACCCGATTTTGTCCTCGTCCTGGGTTTCGTCTTACACTTCGAGCCAATTCATCCAAGTCGATGTCGACTTCGGCCAGTTTGATCCGATTCGAATGCGATTCCGATCCGATCGACCCGATTCGATTTCGACTTTCGGCCAGGTCCATCCGATTCGATGCCGATTTCCAAATGATCCGATGCGGTTCGATGCTCGCATGGCGTTGTCGAGCATCCTGGCACAGCCCATCCGAATCGATTTGTATCCAGCTTACAGATCCAATTCTGGCCAATCTTGCCCGCGGGGGTTGCGTGGCATCGGAGGGGCGGGTCGCGACCACTCATGGGTTCGAGGTTCGAGGTGTTCGGGTGGTCTCGCACGTTCTCGTCGGTCCTCGTCGGCTTCGGACGTGTGTGAGGTTTTCGGCGTTGTCGCAGGTGTTCTGATGGTTTCGGAGGTTTCGGAGGTATTCCAGGCTTAGGGTTTTCGCACGTCTTCGTACACCTTAGGCGATGCTTAAGAAAACCTAAGTTTTCGGCCAGAGTCTCGATTATTCTTACTGTTTCAATGTACATCCTAGGATTTTAATAGAAATGTTGGATTTTTATTGAAGTTCTGAGACTATGAATTTCTTAACCCATGATTTCTTAAGCATTTCGCAGGGTGTAGATGAAAGTCGGCGTTCCAGCCTCGTGGTGGTTTCCAGCTGCCGCGCCTCGCCGAGGGCGCTCCGGGGGGAGCCCAGCTCGTGCCGAACGGTCGCCCGGGGCTCCTCGGGGGCAGCCCCGAGATCTTGGCGTCGCAACGGTTTCGAGCGGCACGTTCTCGCAAGGTTTCGGGCACCAGGACCCTCGGAAATCGAGCTACGTTTTGGGCTGGTCGCGTTTTGTTCGCCATGCTGCAGTTTGCTCGCCATGTGGGAGCTCAGGGACGGTCAGGGTGAGGCAGGCTCATGCAGGGAACTGATTCGACCGGGCGGGGGGGGCATGAGGGGGCGGGGGGTCAGGCTGTGCCGTGGTAGTGCGCCGCGGTGGCCGTGGCAGTCGCGGTGGTGGCCTGGCCGGGGTGGTTCTCACCACCGTCGGCGTGCGGGGGTCGTCCCCCTGTCGGGTGCGCAGCCGTAGTCGTTGTGGTGGCGCCGTCGTGGTCATCGTGTCGGGTAGCGGCGGCGGCCTCGGGAGAAGGCGGGTTGGTGATGAAGGCGGCCTGCTGGGAGCAGTCCCCCCAATACGTGTAAGATTGGCAGAGTTTCGAAGGGTCGGAGGCTTCTCGCCGAGTCTCGAAGGATCGAGGCTCGACGATCGAGGCATTCTGACGCCCCTTGCCCGCGAGGAGGCCGTCTTGGGTCGTCGGAAAGCCGAAAAGAAGCGAATACCAAAATCCTTTAAAAAACGCGTGGGAAATCAGTGTTTTCGGCCTCTTCGGGCCATCCTGGAGGACCTCTTGGAGGCCTCTTGGGCCGTCTGGGAAGCCTTTGGGGGGCCTCTTGGGCCATCTTGGGCCGTCTTGGAGTCTCTTGGGCCGTCCGGGAGGCCGTCTTGGGAGGCCATCTTGGACCATCTTGGAGGCCATCTTGGCCCAACGTGGCCATCTTGGAGGCCATCTTGGGCCATCTTGAGCGAAACATTGGGGAATTGAGCGCCTTCCGGGTGGCCGGCGGGACGGGCCGAAGCCCCAGGGGGAGTTCTTGTGGAAAAAGAACCAAAACCAAAGCCGAGAGGATTCAGCACGCCAGGCACCCCTTTGCTAAAGCAAACGGGGGCGGCGGATCGAAGACGCCCACGGCGAATCACCGCCGCCCCCTGCCTTTTTGGAAGCGCCTATGTGGCCGAACGTTGAGGCCAGACCTGCCAAGCTATCGGACCACGTGTTCCCCGAATCGGTTTGGAAAGCCTTCGGGGAACACGTGGGCATCTTGAAGGTCATCTTGGCCGTCTTGGAGGCCTCTTGGGCAAGCTTTGGGCGATCTTTGGGGCTTTTTGGGCCGTCTCGGGCCAGCTTCGAGCCAACTTCGGCCATCTTGGTGGGTTCCTGGCACGTCTGAAGCCGTCGGAAGCCGTTTGGGGGGCCTCTATGGGCCGACTTGGGGCCCGCTTGGAATGCTCCAGGGCCGTCTTGGAGGCCATCTTGGGCGTCTGGGAGGCCATCTTGGGGGTGTTGGAGGCCTCTTGGGCCCTCTTGGGGCCCTCTAGGGGCCATCTTGGATGCCACTTGGGCCATCATGGGGCTCTCTTGGGGGCCTCTTGGGCGATCTTGGGGGCTTCTTGGGCCGTCTTGAGCCGTCGGAGAGCCGAAAAGGCGCAAATGCCAAAATCCTTCAAAAACCAAGGGAAAATCAATGATTTTGGCCTCTTCGGACTCTCCTGGAGGACCTCTTGGAGGCCTCTTGGGCCGTCTGGGAGGCCTCTGGGGGGCCTCTTGGGCCGTCTTGGGCCGTCTTGGACTCTCTTGGGCCGTTTTGGAGGCCGTCTTGGACCATCTCGGGCGGACTTGGAGGCCATCTTGGGCCATCTTCGCGATTTTTTGAGGATGTCCCGAGCGAAACGGCCGTTTTGGGGCATTGACAGACGCATTTTGGGAAATTCGCGGGTGGCCGGCGGGACGGGCCGAAGCCCACTGGGGAGTTCTTTTAGAAAAAGAACCAAAACCAAAACTGAATCATCCAGCACGCCGTGCACCCCTGCAAGCAGGGGGCGGCGGATCGAAGACGCCTACGGCGAATCACCGCCGCCCCCTGCCTTTTTGGAAGCGCCTATGTGGCCGAACGTTGAGGCCAGACCTGCCAAGCTATCGGACCACGTGTTCCCCGAATCGGTTTGGAAAGCCTTCGGGGAACACGTGGGCATCTTGAAGGTCATCTTGGCCGTCTTGGAGGCCTCTTGGGCAAGCTTTGGGCGATCTTTGGGGCTTTTTGGGCCGTCTCGGGCCAGCTTCGAGCCAACTTCGGCCATCTTGGTGGGTTCCTGGCACGTCTGAAGCCGTCGGAAGCCGTTTGGGGGGCCTCTATGGGCCGACTTGGGGCCCGCTTGGAATGCTCCAGGGCCGTCTTGGAGGCCATCTTGGGCGTCTGGGAGGCCATCTTGGGCGTGTTGGAGGCCTCTTGGGCCCTCTTGGGGCCCTCTAGGGGCCATCTTGGAGGCCACTTGGGCCATCATGGGGCTCTCTTGGGGGCCTCTTGGGCGATCTTGGGGGCTTCTTGGGCCGTCTTGAGCCGTCGGAGAGCCGAAAAGGCGCAAATGCCAAAATCCTTCAAAAACCAACGGAAAATCAATGATTTTGGCCTCTTCGGACTCTCCTGGAGGACCTCTTGGAGGCCTCTTGGGCCGTCTGGGAGGCCTCTGGGGGGCCTCTTGGGCCGTCTTGGGCCGTCTTGGACTCTCTTGGGCCGTTTTGGAGGCCGTCTTGGACCATCTCGGGCGGACTTGGAGGCCATCTTGGGCCATCTTCGCGATTTTTTGAGGATGTCCCGAGCGAAACGGCCGTTTTTGGGCATTGAGAGATGGGTTTTGGGCAATTTGCGGGTGGCCGGCGGGACGGGCCGAAGCCCACTGGGGAGTTCTTTTAGAAAAAGAACCAAAACCAAAACCTGAATCATCCAGCACGCCGTGCACCCCTGCAAGCAGGGGGCGGCGGATCGAAGACGCCTACGGCGAATCACCGCCGCCCCCTGCCTTTGTGGAAGCGCCTATGTGGCCGAACGTTGAGGCCAGACCTGCCAAGCCATCGGACCATGTGTTCCCCGAATCGGTTTGGAAAGCCTTCGGGGAACACGTGGGCGTCTTGATGGTCATCATCGCCGTCTTGGAGGCCTCTTGGGCGATCTTTCGGCGATCTTTGGGGGCTCTTGGGCCGTCTCGGGCCGTCGGAAGGCCGAAAGAAGGGAAATGTCCAAATCCATCAAAAACCTTGGGAAAATCAGTGATTTTGGCATCTTTTGGCCTTCCTGGAGGCCCTCTTGGGGGCCTCTTGGGCCCTTTTGGGCCAGCTTCGAGCCAACTTCGGCCATCTTGGTGGGTTCCTGGCACGTCTGACGCCGTCGGGAGCCGTTTTGGGGGCCTTTCTGGGCCAACGGGGGACCCTCTTGGGGCGCTCCAGGGCCGTCTTGGAGGCCATCTTGGGCGTCTTGGAGGCCATCTTGGGCGTGTTGGAGGCCTCTTGGGCCGTCTTGGGGCCCTCTAGGGGCCATCTTGGAGGCCACTTGGGCCATCAGGGGGCTCTCTTGGGGGCCTCTTGGGCGATCTTGGGGGCTTCTTGGGCCGTCTTGAGCCGTCGGAGAGCCGAAAAGGCGCAAATGCCAAAATCCTTCAAAAACCAATGGAAAATCAATGATTTTGGCCTCTTCGGACTCTCCTGGAGGACCTCTTGGAGGCCTCTTGGGCCGTCTGGGAGGCCTCTGGGGGGCCTCTTGGGCCGTCTTGGGCCGTCTTGGACTCTCTTGGGCCGTTTTGGAGGCCGTCTTGGACCATCTCGGGCGGACTTGGAGGCCATCTTGGGCCATCTTCGCGATTTTTTGAGGATGTCCCGAGCGAAACGGCCGTTTTTTGGAGGATTTTTTCCGGTCGTTGAGCACGTTTGGGGATTTTCCGGGTGGCCGGCGGGTTCTGCCGGAGCCCACTGGGGAGTTCTTTTGGAAAAAGAACCAAAACCAAAACCTAACAGCTCGTCCAGCACGCCGTGCACCCCTGCAAGCAGGGGGCGGCGGATCTAATGGCCTTCGGCCCATCCCGCCACCGTGCCTGGGTTGTGGGTCTGAGGCCTCTTGGATGCTCTTCAGGATCTCGCCGAGACGTCTCGGGGGCCTCCTGGGGGTATTTTTGAGACCTCTGGGGGCTACCTTGGAGCCTCTTGGGGCCTCTTTTGGGCCTTGTGGGGCTCTTTGGGGGGCCTCTCTGGATGGGCCTCTCTTGGGGCATCTTAGGGGCCTCGTGGGCGCCTCGTGGGGCGGAAGGCTCGGATCTCTTGGCCTTGCTCCCCCCATGTTGCGGGGTCCTGGGGCCCTCCTGCGCCGTCTTGGGCGCCTCTTGGGCCGCGTTGGGGCCTCTGGGGCCCTCGCCGTCGTGGGGGCCCTGGGGGAGCCTCGGGAGCCGTCGTGGGGCGATCTTGGGGGCCTCTCGGGACGTCTTGGATTGTCGGGCGCCCGAAGTGGCTAGCGTAGACAAGATGGAAACACACGAGGGGATCCATGATTCTGTTTTCCTGCCCCCCCCGGGAAGGCTTTCGGGGCTCTCCTGGCGCGTCTCGAGGGCCTCCTGGGCCGTCTGGAGCCTATCCCGTGAGCGCCTCGGACCGTCCGGGGGGGGGGGAGCTCCCCGGGGGGTCTTCGTGGCCCGTCATCGGGCCCCTCGCGGCCCCGAGAATAAAAGGGGAACCCCACAGGGGCCACGCGAGAAGCCCTGGACGGGTTGAGAATCTGGTGATGGGCTTGTTTTCCACCGCCACCACCATAAGTTGGAGGGGGAGGGGTCCTCCTCCTCTTCCTCCTCCTCCTCATCCTCCTCCTCCTCTTCGTCCTCCGCCCCCTCTTCGTTTTCCTCCTCCTCCTCCTTCTCCTCCTTTTCCTTCCCCCTCCAACTTATGGTGGTGGTGGTGTTGGAAAACAGGCCCATCATTTGGGGTCTGGGTCGCTACAAGAGTCTTCAGGATTGAGGGGTGAGGCTGCAGAGGGGGGCGACCAAGGGACCCGAGGACACTCCAGCTCGTGCCTCGAGGGCACTGCGGCGGATGCGCGTGTCCCACGATCTGTTGGGGACGCTCTTCCACCCGAGGCATCCCAAGGCACTCCTAGCTGGAGATCCCTCTATTTGTTTATTCGCACCACTGGAGTGCTGTCTTGTTGTTTCCGACCGCCGATGTGGCGCCGCTCGCCCCAGGAGGCCGCCGCATGCTGCGGCCGCCCTCGCCCTTCCTCCGCCGCCTGCTCGAGCGTTGCGGCCCAGCATCGAGGATCGAGGAGCATCAGAAGGGTCGGGCATCGAGTAGGAGGATCGACGGCCGAGGAGGCACGCGGATCGAGGCAGGACCCGCGCCCCTCGTCAGCCCCTTGCTCGCGCGGTGTGGCTCGAGCCCACGGCGACGGCGCCGGCCCGCATATATTGAAGCCCAGCCCGCAACAAACTGGCAGGAGCGCGCCCGCCGCGGGGGGGGCTCGGGCAGGCTCTGAGGGTCCTGGGCGGCATCGTGCAGATGAAGAAACTGTACGCGCCGGTCGTTGAAAGTAGGTGCGGTCGGACCGAGGTATACTATCGAGGTCGATTCGGGGAGGGTGCCCTAATGATTTTCGTGTTTGTTTGATCTTCTTGTGCTTCCTGGGGAGGGCGTCCTCGAATGTTATTCAGTTTGGGCTTGCGGGGGGTCTCAAGATCTTGAAGGACGTTATTTGTCTTAGGTCTGGCCGTACACACCACACCGGTCGTTGGAATACAGGTTTTCTCACAGACCCAGATCCCAATCCATTTCCAGCGCCTTCTATTTCAAGAGTTGGTCTGGTTTTGATGTTTTTTGTTCTTTCTTCGGGTAGGCCGGAAGCCAATCTACTGCAGCCGCCTCCCTGCTGCCTGCTTCGACCTGCTTCTTCCGATTGGCGGGTACGGATCCGAGGCGGCTGGTGGTCTGAGATGGCCCAGAGCTGGTTCCGGCCACCAGGATGGGGGGGCATGCTCGACGCCCGAGGAGGATTCCGGCGTCCGGGAGCCGTTTTCGGGCCCCGTTACCCTCAGCAACGGATCCGGGGCGAAGTTTTGCACCAGATGGGCCCGGGGAGGGGCCCGGAGACCGCTTTTCAGCGGACTTGGCCAGATTCCCCCTCGTGACCGATTTCCCTGTGCGCCAAACAGTTTATCCCCGTGGCCACCTCCAAGTCAGGGAAGAACAGACGACATGGGATACGGGCAATACCAGTCGGAGGGCCGCGAAGATTTCTTGGACCTGGCGCTTGCGCCCCTCCCGGGCGCGCGGCGCCGAAGGTGCCGCTCGGGGGCTGCTAGCGCAGATCCAAAAGATCCGCGCGGACCCTCGAGCGAGTATGCTTGTGCAGTTTTTGTGTTTCGAAGAGCGGAGTCAGCTACCAAGCCTCGACGCAAATTAAATCTCGGCGGCGAGCCCGGGGGGGAAGTAAGATGGGGCAGGCTTCTTAGAAGGCGGTGGGGTTTCTCAGAAGCTCTCGCGCCAACTGATAAGTTTGAGGTGTCTTCGGGAAAGTTTCCGCCACTTTCTCAGAGGGCCCGAGGATTTACGAGCCTTCTGAGAAGGCCCGCCCCCTCTGACTTCCCCATGCTGAATCGGGGATTTTTTTTTTTTTTTTTTTTTTTTTTTTTTTTTTGCGCGGGGGCGCCTTGGCTCAGCAGCGAAAGCCGATATCTGCCCTGGCCGATCAATGATTCAGGCAACTCCGTGCGCGGCGGACGTGGGGTGCGAACTCTCCGAGCACGCGGCGAAATCCTCCCCCCTCCCCCCGCCTCCAAGCGACGCAGGAGAACCGGTGGCTGTTGGGGGTATCGGGTTCGGACGTCGCCGCCGAGTGGCGCCGCCAACATGGGGGCTCCTCCTCCTCCTCCTCCTCCCCCTCCTCCCCCTCCTCCTCCTCCTCCTCCTCCTCCTCCTCCTCCTCCTCCTCCTCCTCCTCCTGCCTCTCCTCCTCCACCTCCACCTCCTCCTCCTCCTCCTTGTGATGAGTCGCTCGATTCCTGGCCTCGGTGGCCACTCTCAGCGCGACGGGGCACGACGTGGTCAGAGCTGTGTGCCATGCCGATCGGCCCGATTCGCTTGCCCGGTCTGCCCCAGTGGGCGACGCATCGTCTTCGGTCCCAACCAGTCGGCCGATGGCAGTTCGCCCGCGGTTGCGTTCGCACACGGCCCGCGAGCAGAGGCGGGGACGGCACCGCCGTGGTGTTCCCTGGTTCTCCGCTTCACGCTGCACGGAGTGTCGCACCCACGTGGTGGTTTGCCCGGTCCACCGTGGGGAGGAGCGTCCTGTTCTTCGATATTCGATCGTTTTCAGTGTCTGGTTCTTGGGGCTGTCCCATGCAGATCCCGAGGGTGGGTCGTTGCAGCGTTTTTCTTTGTTTTGTTTTCTTGGGGCAATCTCCCTGTGTTAGCTCTACGCAGCCGACGGTCGATCCACTCAACAACGTCACCCTGTCTGGCAACAGGGAAGCTACACCAAATGCAGAAAGGCGATTCGCAGACAGGGTTAGGGCCGTGTTTTAGATCCAGGTCATGAAACCTGTTCTGTGGCCGAGGCTCCCTGTGGTCATACAATACGATGTCGTTCCTTTTTCAGCGTTTCGTATGGCAGCGCGATAGTTCTATTGTGAGACGCGCGTGACGGGTTCAAAAGCAGGCGCGTGTTTTTTTGTCGAGGAACAGGGATCTGCATCAGCGCAAATTTTCATGGGTCCGCGCGAATGTGTTAGGTACCCCCGGCGCTGCCACCAGCGCCGACCCTTGCGTGCCCAGCGCACCAGGGAGTGGGGCCCAGCGCCGATCCAACGAATCTGCGCGGACCTCGAAATGTTATGCTCAGGCAGCCTCTCCTTCGTCCAGCCTGCCCGTGTCTAGACATCCGACGTCTTGATCTTCTCAGTGCGGCGGGTCCTTGGAAGCCCCGTGGATTAAGTCGGGCATATTCCTCTACAGGAGGACTATTCAACACTGGTCAAACAAAAATAGTAAGGGGACGATTGTTCGATTATTTGTAACCGTTTTGACATATTCATTTAGTATTTGTTTCTGTCGTCCCAAGTTCCCCTGTATGAGAAAACGCCCGACATAACCTTTGGATGTGGACGACGGCCTCGATTTTTCACGACGCGGCCCGCATGTAAAAACGGGCACCTGGACCCGTTCCAGGCTGCGTTCTGGCCAGGATTGCGTCGCGGATCCGGCCGTGGTGGCGACGAGTAGCTTCTCGGAAAGGAGAGGGGCGTCCAGACTCCTCGATCGTCAGGCCTCGACCCTTCGAAACGCACAACGCGACTGACTGTGGGGGCCAAGCATCGATCCCCAGACCAGTCCCATGGTGCGTTCCGGCCAGCCTTTCAAGGCGGATCCAGCCGTGGCGACGAGGAGCCCCTTGCAGCCCCCTCAAAAGTGACAAAGAGATCGAGAAGCCGGTCCTCGAAATCGAGGGTGCCGAGACGACACGACGCGAACCTGCCGTACCCTCATGGGTCTGGGCCCTCCTCCTCCTCCTCGCTGCTCCCCGCCTGGCCTTCCCCTTCTGGGCCACCAGCTCGAACGCCCCCCCCCACTCAAATAAAGTGATCCTGGCGAAGGACCCAACAATATGCAGTTGTGAGCACCGCGATTGAGAGAAGTGTCTTCGGTGGAGCTCCCTATGGCGCCACGAAGCGCGCGAGGGGGGTGCCGTAATGGTGGTGGGGGGGCGCATGCGACTTGTGCCATTGGGGCCTTCGGTGGAGATGGCACGAGGCACAGCGTGTAAGGGGTTCGCCGAAATGAGTTCAGGGTCCGCATGCGAATGTCGCCACTGAGGCCTTCGATGGAGCTCCCTGTGGGGCCACGAAGCGTGCGAGGGGTGGCCTTCGGTTGAGCTCCGTATGGAGCTGCGACACGCGTGGGGGGGTGCAACTGGGGCCTTAGGAGGGGCCTCCTTATGGGGTCACGACGCGCGTGAGGGGTGTGCCGAAATGGCTGACATGCGGAGGGCAGAGGCAGGGATGTGAGGCGGAGGCAGGGATGTGAGGCGGCGGAGGAAGGGGAGGAGGAAGGAGGAAGGAGGAAGGAGTGAAGCGGGGCGCTGTCTCTTCAAAGCGAGGACCCCGACGGCGCGAACAAGTTGGCATCCCGGAGGCCTAGACCCCATCTTTCTGCGGCATCCTCCGAGCCGGAGCGATCTGTGTGGGTTCTGGGGCCCAGAGTTTTGCGGAAACTTTCTCAGAGCGTGAATTACCTACCCCGCTTTCGCTTCCAGGCAAAACCAAGTCATACCACGCGCCTCCTCGTCAAGCGGCCCGACCAGTAGAGGCCGTACTTTGGCATCGCTCGGTATCTCTTGGAAGCGAGGGAAGTCAAAAGCGAGGTAGGTTTGTTTGCCCCCAGAAACGCCCGGCCCGAGGGGCCTCTGGCCGGCCTCCGCTCGGGACGAGCTGGGCACCCCGGGAACGCCCCTGGCGGGGGCGCGGCTGCTGGAGCCACCCGGAGGCCGGAGAGCCAGCGAGCGAGCACCGCCCGGAAGCGCCCGCGAGCTTCAGACCTCTAAAGCTGTCGAACACCGCCGAAGCCGCCCGAGAGAGCGTCGCTCCTCGAGCCTTCACCCGAAGAGTCCCGGCCGTCCTGTGGGGCCAGTTTTTCCTCCCGGGCCGTTTACTGCGGCAGCCCTCAGCAATGGCCCCCAGGACACCAGCGTCCGGTTCTTTTTCAGAGCGCGTCTGGCCCTGAGATCCAACACAGTGGGAAAATTGCACCTCGTAAACAAGATCACGCCCGGAGCCCTGGACCCCATCTTTCTGCCTCCTCTTTCGAGACGGAGCGATCTTAGGGGGCCACATGCGAACCCTATCCCTACCCCCCACGATTTCTGAGGGGGAGGGTAGGGGGTAGGGACAGAGTTCGCATGCGGCCCCCTAGATCTGTGAGGGTCCCGGGGCCCGAGAAGAAGCCAAGATGCCCGGCCCGACGAACACTGGAACGCCAGGACCTCACCGGGGGGAAGCTCGATCCTCGACCCTTCGAGGGGCGCTGCCGCCGCGCGGCCGCCGCGGCGGCGCCCCCGCCGCGCGCCCAGGATGGCGGCGAGGCTCCTCCTGCTGCTGGCCCTGCCCGCCGTGGCCCTGGGCACCGAGGCGTGCGGCACGGAGCGCGGCCTGCCCCGGCTCGGTCCCCTCCCGGTGGAGGGTTGCTCCGAAGAGCTCATCAGGCAACCCCTCCTCCCTCTTGAAGAGGGAGGAGGGGTTCCTCCTCCTCCTCCTCCTCCTCCTCCTCCTCCTCCTCCTCCGCCTCCTCCTCCTCCTCCTCCTCCTCCGCCTCCGAGAGATCGTCGATGCGAGCGTGAGCTTGAGATGCTGTCCTCGCTTCTACGCTCGGCTCTCAAACATGAGATCCGACTTGGAATTTGACATTTCAGGATGCTCTTAAACATCAGTTGCGCGGTATCCGTGCCGAGGCCACGCTATGCTGCAGCGATTGCGAAAGCGATGACACGAAGTCACGTTTATGCCCACAAGGACGCCTGGGCGCCTTTGACTGCATGCGCATACTATGTCAACAACCGTGTGAGCGTACCTGTGCGTACTGATTGCGCGCGGCGTATATCTGGCTCCAAGAAAGCCGAACATTGCGACAAGATGTATCCAAGAAACACTGGCGCTAGGGAAAAAATCTCCCGTCAACAACAGCCAACTCCAAACGAGGAGGCCACGACGCGCCAAAAGCGTGTCGACAACTCTTCTGAAACAAGAATATCAGGTCGAAGAATGCATGGGCGCAGCATGCCGAAACATACGGGCTAAGCAGCGTCAAAGGAGGAGGAGGAGGAGGAGGAGGAGGAGGAGGGAGAGAGGGGGAGGCGCGAAACGCGCAGCAGCCGCGCGGTTATCATCGCGCACGCGACAAAGCTGCGCTATTCTTTTCCCCATCGGCACAAATGCCGAGTCCTGCTACAAGCTGCGGGGCAAAGGAAAACGGTATGGAAGACGACACGAATTAGAGAAGCAGCGGAAGGCCGTCGATCCTTCGACTGCGCCTGGAAAAATCAGTTCTGGTGCCACTCATAAAGGAAGCGGATATCAGCGAGCGCGCAACTGCGCGTCTAGCGGTCGAGGGGGAGGGGGCGGGCTGCCGCGACGGCGCCCCCTGCCGGGCTGTCCTCGACGTGTCTCCGCAGGACGGCCCGCGCCGAGGCCCTGCGGATGGCGACCGAGAGTTGCTGGAACAAGCGCTTCGCTCCAGTGCCCGGCTCCTCGCCCAGCCGAGCGTCGCTTGCCTGCGCCAGACGCCGGAGCGTCTCTTCCTCCTCCTCCTTTTCCTCCTCCGCCTCCTCCTCCTTCTCCTCCTCTTCCCTTTCCTCCTCCTCCTCCTTTTCTCCTCCTCCTCCTCCTTTTCTCCTCCTCCTCCCTCTCCTCCTCCTCCTCCTCCGCCTCCTCCTCCTCCTCCTCCTCCTCCTCCTCCTCCTCCTCCTCCTCCTCCTCCTCCTCCTCGGGTCGCTTACGGCTCCGGGGGAACCCGTGCACCCTTCGGGGGCTCGGCGAGGGGGCCGAGGTCCCGTTCGAGGAAGCTCAGACCCCCTCGGGTCATGACAAACTCATGACGGCAAGTTTTGCATAATTTTCGGCCTTTGGGTGCCCTCCCCAGGGTTCGGGATTGTTTAAAAACGACTCAGGATGAACAATTGGTCCCGGGGAATGGTTCGACACGTACCGATACCACTACAGTGGAAACCCATGCCAAGAAACACCCTGCTTGCCTTGATGGTGCCCTGGGTTTCTCGGGTCTCGATGGTTTTGCTATGGAAAGCTTGACCTTCCGAAACCAAACATAAGTGGACTTCCTGGGGTCTCAGGGTTGGGTTTCGTGTGGAAAGTTTCTTGTGGTCGAGCTCCTAATGTTCTCCTCTCTCGTTCTCGCCTTTCAGGGGCTCTGGGGAGGCCCTCGGCGCCACCGCTGGATTCGCCTCGCAATTCTGGTCAGAACGCGCCCCAGGAGAGGTCTGGGGAGTAGCGGTACCGGTACCTTATTCTGCTTTCCCCAAGAGTGCCTTCAAATAGGGCGACGAGGTCTGTGCACGTCCACCGCCGCTGGCCAGGGCCCATCCTGGGCCCGGGAGCGGTGTGTCCGCCCCCTGGCTTGGCCAGGGAGGCACTTGCACCTCTCCCGGGCCCAGGGTCGGGGGATGCGCATTGGAGGGGCGACGAGTGACGAGCCGTGGGTGAATGTCATGGCAAGGCCCATACCAGGATCTCTCCCGGATCTGCTGGCCCCCTTCTGCCAAGACGTCCCCCGGCGCCCCCCCTCGGCTGCGCACGTGCCTGGCGCCACGAACTGCGACCCCCCTCTTGGACCCCCCCTCTGCCCCCGCTTGCCAGCCGCGCGCAGAGGGGGGTGGGGGGAGGGGTGAGGGGGCAGGGCTTCTTGGAAGGACCCCTGCTTCTCAGAAGGCGCGGGCCTCGTCTAAAGACGTAAGGCCGGCGCCTTCCAAGCAGCGGCCTCCTCCTAAGAAGCCCTTCCCCCTCCCCCCACCCCCTTGTGCGCGCCGCCGAGCTTGGACGCCCCCGATCCCCCCCGGGGCTCCGGCGAGGCGGCGGATGGACCTCCGCCCCAACGGTGCGTTCTCGGCGGGGCTGCCGGCCTCGGGCTGCTCTCTCCGGCGGCGGCGTCTCGCCGAGGGGGCGCTCCGCGGGTGCCCGCGGGTCGCCTGCGCAGGGCCGCCGGGGAGCCGAGCGATGGCCCGAAGACCGGGCGGCTCAGAGGTGCTGGCGGTGGAGGAGGAGGAGGAGGAGGAGGAGGAGAGGGAGGAGGAGGAGGAGGAGGAGGAGGAGGAGGAGGAGGATGCTGAGGAGGAGGAGGAGGAGGAGGAGGAGGAGGAGGATGTGAAGAACACGGCGGAGTGTTTTTGGCCGTTTTCGGTTTGGGGGCTTTCGCCAGGCCCTTGGGACTGCGAAGACGGCTCGGGGCGAAAGGTTGGCCCTCGGGAAAGGGTCGGGACTGCGGGCAAGATTTGTATCCATATCCAGTGCGTCGTGGGCTTTCTTGGGCTGGGCGCCACGTGGCCGAAGCGCACTGGGTGTGGATAACAATCGAGCCTCTAGGTGGCAGATCTATACATATCCAGCGCGCCTCGGGTTTCTGGGGAAGGGAGCCCGAAACTCAATACTGCAGTGGATATGGACAGAAGTATCGCCCGCAGGGACGTCCTGGCACCCCGCACTGAACGAATCCAGAGCTCCAGGCCACCCAAAGTCAGGAGGGAAGAGAGCACAAATACACAAAAACTGAGCTTCGTGAACATATGATGGGGAAACATTGCAAGAGTGAGGGGAAATGGTTTATCCAGGAAGTGTGTCAAATATGGGAAATCATGGAAGGTTGTAGACTTGTTTGTGCCTCCCTGGGCCCCTTTACGGATAGGATCCGAGTAGATCGGTCGACGATCGCGCCGCATCGCCAATGCATCACCGATGCGGCTTGATGTGGAGCCCGAATTTCTCTGCGATGGTGTCGCCGATGCACCGCCGACGTCGCCGATACATCAGCGATGCAGCGCGTTCCTTCAACCTCGTCTATTCGGACACCATGTGGGAGGCCTCTAAAGATCGGAAGGGACAGAAGCCAAGTTCAGGGGCACCGTTCGGGGGTCAAAGGCTCAGGGGGCACGTTTCTTAAGGTTGTTCGGAAGTCTCCGAGGCCCAGGGTGGTTTCCATCAGCTGCGCCTCCTCGCGGGAGTGTTACGAGGGAGCCAGGATCGTCCCGAACGGCCGCCAGAGGCCCGAATGATGGCCCGAAGTCCACCAGGGAGCGGAAGGGCAGGGGCAACATTACGGTGACAGGCTCATTTCGCTCCACGCCTTCCGAATGGGGTCGAAAAGTAGATGGTGCCTGGCAAGAGGCAGAGTTCGCGGTCGAGAAGGTATTGAGGGGGAGAGCTACAGGCTACAGTCGGCGTCACCCCAACATACTTACACTGTATGTGCGTCGCCTCCCCCCCCCCGGGGGCGACGCGCGCACCGAGAAATCTTATAGTATATGCGTCGTGGCGGGCGCTTTCTGGCCACACCGCTCGGGAAACGACAATTTACAAGATACTCTATGTTTGGGTCGGACGCGCGCCTCCAAGGATCGCATACAGTACTAGTATGTCTCTGTGCGTCCCATACAGTGCGAGCGAGGGAGGAGGGAGGGTGCATGGGAGACGAGCGTGCCGTTGGTTCCTCCCCGTGGCCGTGCCAGGCGGGCGTGGCGAAGAACCCGATCCGCAAGGCTCTGCTCCCGCCCGCGGGGGCAGCGTGCACCACAGTTGTACCGCCGAGCGCCGTTCTGCGGGATGCTGTGAGGAGTGTGTGTGTGTGTGTGTGCATGTGATCCAACGTGGCCAGACATGATCGCGTCGTAAAATCAAAAAACAGGACGGGATTTACGTGTGAGAGTGTGAGAGTGTGTGAGTGTGTGTGTGTCTCTGTCTGTGTGTGTTTGTGGCAGGAGAGCTTGTAGGCGGGATTGCTTCAGGGTGGAATAGCCCACCCCGCCCAGGAGCCTGCGGTTTCGCTATCGGTGGCTTCTCGCCGATCTGTCGGCGGTGCATCGCCGATTGCAGCTTGAGGTTCCCCCCCTGAGCCGGTCCTCCCCCCAAGGCGTCCCGTCTTAGCGCCCCCCTTTCGGAAGGAGGGGAGGAGAAGGCGGAGGAGAAGGAGGGCCAGCACGCAGTTGGATGATGAGTTCGGGCCACCTGTCCTCCAGGGCGGGGCGGCCTCCTGCCGGGCTTGGGCTGCCTCTCTGAGCAGCTGCGCCAGCGGCACGGGAGGGAGACTGAGCACAATCGGACTGGCGGCGGCACTCTTGGGGCGACGGTCAGACTGTGCTCTCTGCAGCTGCAGTTTAGCCCCATTATGGGGCGGTCTCAAATTGCAATCGCCAGACAGACCTCGCGAGTTGCCCTCCTTAAAGGAACCACACTTATGGCACACCAAGAAACTCGTTGGCTGCTCGAGGTGCTCATCATAGAACAAAGTATGCCCATTAGGGTTGGAGGCAAGGCTGGACATCCGAAGGCAGTGTCCAGGACACTCCACTGTTCGGCATCGCTCCTCACATGCTTTGAACGTGCGGATGCGGATGCCATTCACTATCGCCCAGACGTGGGCCCTCGGAGGTACGCCAGGGGCCGCCGGAGGCGGAGGGGGAGGCGGAGGGGCCACGGACGGCGGTGCCCCAGGGTCCCGGGAGGCCAAGGCCGAGGCAGCCCCCGAGGGAGGGGAGGGGCGCTTCACGGGCTCGGGGAGCGCCTCGTGACGACGAGGGGCCATCGCGGGGCCACTCTCCAAAAGAGCTTTGGACACATATCTCGAAGGTATTTCTTGAGCAGAGCAGTGTCGTGCTGATACTGCTCTACTTCGGCGTGACCTGGGTTGACTGCCAAGGTTCGCGGCGGCCTTGGCAATCCTATCTGCGACATCGTTGCCGCTGGCTAAACGGAACTCTTCACTATCGGGGGGCAGCAACTCCAGATTTTTGCAAGCCTTGACTTTCTGGAGTTTGGGGCCGAGGTCAAAATAGCCTCCGCCCGCGAGCACTTTACAACCAGACCATTGATTACGGCGAGGGTATCCAGCCTCGCCGTGCAACTGCAACACTCCTTTCTAATCCGAGTGAGGGAGGAGAAGGAGGAGGCGGAGGCGGAGGCGGAGGCGGAGGCGGAGGAGGATGAGGAGGAAGAGGCGGAGGAGGGCACCGTGGGAGGGAAGCGGAGGCATCCCCAAAGCGTTTCCCCTCAGGGAGAGGAGTGCGTCCACGACGCGTGTCGTTTTTCGCCTTTCTCGCTGGTCCCACGTCGGGCGCTGGAGGCCACGTAACAGGGGGTGGCCTTCCCGCTTCAGGTGGTGACCATGCTGCAGGGGATGTTCAAGACCGTGACCGAGGAGGGCGAGAAGGAGGAGAAGGCCGCCGGGCGCTGCGACGCGGGGCCCGGGTGTGATTCCGAGGCGGGGGCATGTCCATGAGTGGCCTGCAGCGCTGGTTTCGGCGAGCATGCAAGGGGGCGGGAGGTTCTCGAGGTGCTGTGTTCGAATATGTCACGTTTGCCTCCTCGGCCTGCCCAGGGGCCGGTCTCGGGCCCCGGGACCGTGAGAGGCGGATCTGGGGGGAACAATTGCACAAGGCGGACCCCAGGAGAAATCCGAGGACCGATTCTGAGCGGATTTGGTGCCATTCCCTCTTTTTGCCCGGGCTTCTGGGATCCTTACCGGTTCAACACCCCCGATCGCTTCCAACTTGGGGGATCGATCTCTGGGGGCCTTGGCAGGCGGTGTAGATATGTATATATGTATATATGAATATATATCTATACATACATACATACACATGCATACGCGCATGTAAACATACACACACACACACATATATATATAGAGATGCTCACACAGAGGAAAATGTCCCCGCCTATCGTTTTTCACAAGGGAATCTCAGGGGACCGATCCTGGCACCCCGGGGATAGTGTACATTCATATTTAGGATGGGCATGTGGTCAGAATCATCTATGATTTACGTGCCCGTAAGGGGGACCGATAACGCCGGGAGGGGGGGTAGAGTCTATTCTCTTTTTAGAAACAGATCAATCAAGCAGTTCGAGCATTGCAAGCCAATGCAGTGCAAGTCAGATCACAGAGTAGCAATGCACGTGCGCGACGAGGCGGCGACGGTGCGGCCACTGCGGCCAAATAGCCGTCAGACCGACCACACGGACCAGACGACGGGCGTCGATTATGCGGCGACGGCGGCAACATAGCCGCCAGACCGAAGACACGGTCCAGTTCTGTAGAACAGAAGTGTGAGCACCTAAATGCAAGCGCCGTTTGCTGAAATAGTGTCGGAAACGCTTCGAGATTGTGGCATACATCTGTACCTTCGTAATACTTCCCTTCTATCAGTTCTGCATTCAATAAACCAGCTGGTGAGCGTTTTTGTCTTCCCCTGGGTGGCGCTCGTTACCCGGGCCCCCCCCCCCCCGGTAACGCTAACGATCGTACTGGGGTGGTGGCCTGGCCCCCCGCCCCTGCATGCTGGGGGCGGACCCCCCACAGGTATTGCGCCGGGCTCGCAGGCACGGCGTCGTGCGGAAACGAATTTTCCGGTGCCTTCATACGTGCTGTGGCGCTTGCGTGCTATTTCGGTGCGCGTAGGTCAAGCGGGCTCATTGCTAAGGTGCCCTACAGTCGGGGCCCTGAAGAAGGAACCCTTTTCGTTGGGGAGTGGCTCCGTGTTCCTTAAGTGTTTCGCAGATTGCCTCAGGCTTTCCTTAGGTTTGCGACAGGAAATCGAAGGTTAACTTATGGAAAAAAGGGGCCTCGTTCCTTATTTTGGGTTCCTTAGGTCAAGCCCCCGACTGTATTACGGTGCGCATAGGTCAAGCGGGCTCACTGCTGAGGTGCCCTATTCGGAGGGCGGCGGGTCGGGGGACCGATGACGAGCGGCTTTCGGCCCCCACCGAGGGTCGCCGCCGTCGGCACCCCTTCCCGGGTCGCCGCCTCGGCTATACCGCAGCCGCAGTGGTCGTTTTCGTCGTTCGCCGTCGCTGGTCGTCGTCGTTGCCTCTGTCGCGGCCCAGACGACGTGAAGGTCGAGGAGCCAAGCGCCACGCTCCACAGAGCCACATGAAGAGGAGGATGAGGAGGAGGAGGAGGAGGAGGAGGAGGAGGAGGATTAGCAGGAGAAGGAGGTGGAGATGAAACCGCTTTCCCCCCCCAAAGCTGGTCTCCTCCTAACGTTCACCCTCATGAGGGGGTCTTACGATGTGCACGCGTCGCCAGGCCTTCGAGGAGTTCATGTGCTACTGCAAGCGTCCCGCTCAGTCTCCCGGCGCCCTCCGGCTCGGGATTCGTGGGGGCACTCGCTCGAGGCTAGTCTCCGGATGTTGCAGCAGGCGTGGGCGAGCGGATCGCGCGGGGGTGTGGGAGCGGGCTGTCCTTCGCAGGGCGGTGGGGAGGAGGAGGAGGAGGAGAGGAGGAGGAGGAGGAGGAGGAGAGGAGGAGGAGGAGGAGAGCGTGAGCGCGGTGAGCGTGCTCCGTGGTGCCAGAGGTGCGCATGGCCAGGCCCCCCGCCGTGCGGGCCAGCTCGAGGCATCGGGGCGGTGGGCCCCCCAGACTCCTCCTCCTCCTCCTCCTCCCTCCTCCTCCTCCTCCTCTTCCTCCTCCTCCTCCTCCTCCTCCTCCTCCTCCTCCTCCTCCTTCTCTTCTCCTCCTCCTCCTCCTCCTCCTCCTCCTCCTCCTCCTCCTCCTCTTCCTCCTCCTCCTTCTCCTCGGGGCTCCTGTCTAGGCGATCGCAAACATGGATCAAGGGGGCGTGGATGAGCGACGGGTCCCGCTGCCGTGGGGCATCGCTGATTCCCGCCGCCGACGGAGGCGGCGCCGGCCGCAGTTTTTGGGAGGGCACCTCCCCCGATCCATGGATTCGGCGACCGCGCGCCAAATCCATGGATCGCTAATCCATGTTCGCGCGCCCCCGAGTGTGGCTTGTGGACAGAAGCGATGTGCGCGAAGATCTGGGCCTCCCAGATGGGTTCCCAGTAGATGGTGTCGGAGGGTGCTGCATCTCAGATGCATCGCCAGCGAGGCTTGATGTGGAGCCCGATTGTTGTTCCCTACGTCGACGTCGCCGATGCATCGCCGATGCATCTGCGATGCGTCGCGATCCTCCGACCCCATCTACTCCGACCCCAGCCGGGCGGCCTCGAGAAGGTCCGAGGTCCAAGAGTTGCCTTCAGCGGGGCCCGAACTTGCAGCAGCCGTTCGGCGTAGTGTTTCCGCGGCGGCGGATGGCGGGGTCGGCCACAAATGCGGACATCTTGTCTAGTAGCCAGTCATTTGGGCACATATCGGACATCCTCAGGGTTCCGTGTCGGTTGGCTGCATGTGTCGCTGATCCATCACGCAATTAAGGACGGGGGTCGGCGACCTCGAGACCTCCATAGAGTCTGCCACGACCAAGATCGACACCCTGGAGTCGAGGGCTCAGCTGTCTCTGGGCGCGGCCAAGGGGGGGCCGTCGATAGATCATGCCGTTGTTGCGGAAGAGGGTTTGTTGCAGTAGCGAAGAGGATTTGTTGCAGTAGCGCCTTCATATCTCCCCGACTTCGATGGGGTCGAAGGATCGTCCCGCATCGCCGATGCATCGCCGATGCGGCTCGGTGTGGAGCCCGATTCTCTCCACGCCGACGGCGCTGATTTATCGCCGACGGCCCCGGTGCAGCGCCAGTGTATCGCCTATGTATCGCCGATGCATCGCCGATGCATCGGCGATGCGGCGAATTTTTGTCCGACCCTATCTACTTGGACCTCATCTAGGAGGCCTCTAGTTTAGCTGCGCCAGGAATTGATCGGCTCTTCCAGACTTCATTGTCGTCGCCCACATTTGGTGCGCTGAGTGAGAGAGGTGCGTTGCATATTACAGAGTGCAAGCTGGTCGTGTTTGTTGCGCCTGCGCATGAGATGCAGCCGTCAAACGACCCACAGGAACTTCTTGCTTGGAAGGCAAAAGAGCCTACCTGTTTCTAGGCCCATGCCTGTGCTCCATGCCAAATACCGTTCTCAAGTCCTAGCCAAAGGCGTCCATCGACACACTTGATGTGGTTACGTATATAGACACGTTTGGGGTGGGTGAGTCTTTGGACAACTCGGCCGTTGCGTTCGGCGCAATACAAGGGCGGGGAAAGGGTAGATCCGTCAACGGCGTGCTCCTGTTCCAATGCAGGTCCAACATGGTACTCTAACTTATTGACGCTTTGCGTATCCTACCAGCCCATCCGCAAACGACGCCCAGGCGAGTTGTGTTGATCAGGGAAGTGTCGAAGCAAGCAGTGAAACAAAGATGGGGGTAACCGTAAAATCGAAGCTCGGGATCGGCCAGATTAGACCCAGGAGTCAACCATACATGTGTTCTCGGATCTTTCGATATGGGAGCATCTTGACAGCTTATTTGTGCCCTCTTGATCGGGGCTCTCTTGGGGCTCTCTCGGGGCCCTTCGAGGGGCCCTGGGGGCGATCTTGGAGGATCGGTGAAAGACGGAGTAACCGTACTTACGTCTTCCCGCTGGATACACCAATCTCATCTTGGGGCCCTCTTGGGGCGCTCTTGAAGCCGTCTCGAGGCCCCGATGGGCCCCTCTGTGGGCTCTCTTGGGCCACCTCGGAGCCGTCTCGAGGTCACAGAAACATGTCGCAGGGTTGCACCGACTCACCGAATGCCCCCGGGTGCTTGGAAGGACCTTGGCCAGGTGCGCCCTTGGGAGGCTACCCTTCGCTAGGCCAGCGCCTTCTAAGAACAGCCTCTGTCCAAGAAGCCTCCCCCCCCTCCCCCCATCACCCCTTCGCCGCGCGCCGCCGGTCTTGGGAAGACTGGCGCGCCGCGGCGCGAACCTTGCCCCGAGATCTGACGTCGCAGGAAACTGCAGCACCGCAAATGATAGCGACGGGCCCCCCGGGCCCCAGCTCTCTGCGCCACGTCCGAGCCGCGGCGATCTGTCAGGGTCCCGGGGCCCGACATGGAGCGAAAGCGCCGGGCTCGCAACAATTGGGACCCCAGGATCTCTCGGGCGGGCGGCAAGGGGGGGTGGCCCAAAGGGGGGCGAAACAAGCGGCCCCAGTGGGGGGCCCTCTGGGGCCCCTTTGGGAGGCAGCGGGTGCCCACGAGGCACCCTGAAGTGCCCGTGGAGGCCCCTTCCCGTTCACCCCCCGTGTGGGTCGCCCCCCCCCTTGCTCGGCCACGCGCAGGGAGAGGGGGGGGCGGGGAGGGGGGAGGGCCTCTCAGGAGCGCCCCTGCTGCTTGGAGGGCGCGGGCCCCATCTGTGGGTGTGAGGCCGGCGCCTTCTCAGAAGCAGCCTTTCTGGGAAGCGCCCCCCCCCTCCCCCTACCCCCTTGTGCGCGCCGCCACATTGCCGCCCGCCCGAACCTCGGGGTGGGGCGCTCCTCGAGTCCTGGTCAGAGCCCCAAATCATCAGGGGTAACTCGGGTCAGGGCTAACTCGGGTTTGGTTTTCAGGAATCCGTACCCGAGTTACCCCGGGCCCGAGTTACCCCTGATAATTCGGGCGTCCAGAGCCCCAAATCATCAGGGGTAACTCGGGTCAGGGCTAACTCGGCTTCGTTTTTCGGGAATCCGTACCCGAGTTACCCCGGACCCGAGTTGCCCCGGATAACTCGGGCGCCCAACCTGGAGCGGTCTTGGGGGGCGCGCCTCCCGCGGCCGCCTGCCCGCCGCGCCCCGCGGGCCGGGGGCCGCCGCGCGAGGCGCGCGCCGCCGTCGGCGCGCGCCTCGCGCAGCGCAGAGCGCCCGGCTTCCCGCCTCCACGGGCGCCCCCTGGGCGCGAAGTGGTTCGCGCCGCGCGGTTCCCTGATCGGGGGCGGAAAGAGGGGGGGTGATGACCAGGGGGGGGGGGATATCAAGGCGTGGGCCATGATATCTCCCCAGATTTCGTGGCGCCTCTTCTTATTTTCTTACGTCCCTGGCCCCCCCGCTGGGCCGCGCACATGCCGCCGGTCATGATTTGCACACCCCCTCTTGGACACCCCCCTCTTGGCCGCTCCCGACCTGCGATCCTGGGGCTTCAATCTTTTCGAGCCGGGCGTCTGCGTTCTTTCTGAGGCCCCGGGGCCAGGCCCCGGGGCAGACCTATGTAGCTCGGTGCGGCTCGAACAGCGACGCCGAAAGACGGGGTCGAGGGTTCGGGGCGTGGTGTTGGACGATGGTGCCGTTTTTGCGCCGCGTCGGATCTCAGATTTTTTGGCTCCGATTCCTCCTCATCCTCCGCTTCTGCCCTGGGGGGTGGCGCAAGGGCGCGAAGTGGTTCGCGCTTTCGCGGTTCTAATCCGATGCCTCCTCTTCCTCCTCTTCTTCCCGCGGGGGGCGGCGCGAGGGGGGGCGCGCAGCGCGCGGCGCGAAATCAGGCGCCCTTTGCGTATCATGTTTTGTGGGTGGCCAGGGCGCAGGTCATTTTTTTCGCCTCTGCATCCAGTTCGTCCTCCTCGTCCTCTTTCTCCTCCTTCCTCCTCCCTCCTCCTTCCTCCTCCTCCTCCTCCCTCCTCCTCCTCCCTCCTCCTCCTCCTCCTCCTCCTCCTCCTCCTCCTCTCCTCCTCCTCCTCCTCCTCCTCCTCCTCCCTCCTCCTCCTCCTCCTCCTCCTCCTCCTCCTCCTCCTCCTCCCTCTCCTCCTCCTCCTCCTCCTCCTCCTCCTCCTCCTCCTCCTCCTCCTCCTCCTCCTCCTCCTCCCTCCTCCTCCTCCTCCTCCTCCTCCTCCTCCTCCTCCTCCTCTGCACAAAACATAAACCTTTTGCGGTCCGCGCGGAGTTCTGGGATCTGCGCCGGGGCGTCCTGGCGGCGCCTCCAGCGGGGGGGTCCAGCAGCCAAGACGCAGGCAACGCTTGCGGCTCTGCGTGCATCGACGGCGAGCGACGGGGGAAGCGAGAATAGAGCAGGGACCGACCGTCGCGGCATTCCTATAGTCATACCACGAAGTGTTCTTAGAACCCCAAATTATTCTAAGGACAAAAACGATGTTCTTAGAACATAAACCCGATGCGAGAAAACAAGACAATATCGACCAGAACTGTTATCATAACATGTCGTGCAGACCACAAAAGGTTCTTAGAACATTGTTTGTTAGGGCTGTAGGCGAGCCGGGACGCTTCGCCACTGCTTGAGAGAAGGAGACGGCCCTTTCGGCAGGCGGCGGGGCTTCTCAGATGCCCTCGGGCCTTCCGCGAAGTTTTCTGCGTCGTCGGGGAAGGCTTCGGAGACTTTCAGGTTGTCCGGGGACTTCGAGTCTTCTGCGAAGGCCCGCCCCTTCTCGCTTCACCCCCGAGCTCGCCGCCGAATTTCGTGTTGGCGCTCTCGTGGCCTCTTGAAGGCACGCTGGAGGCTATCTTATCTTGAGATGTCCGAGGCCATCTCGGAGCCATCTTAGTCCAGCAGCCTCCGTAGAATGCTCCCGAGATGCCCAAATCTGTCAAACAACTAAAGCTTTTTTTTTTTTTGCTATTGTGGGCCCAGGGGGGGTTCTCAATGTTAGCCCCCCTGTCGGAGCCCTCAACATCGCCTCTTGCGGCCCTCCTGGCCCGTTCTTGGGGCGCTCTTGGGCGCTCCTGGGGCCGTCTGGGAGCCCTCGTGTACCCTGGCGCTGTTGGGCAATATTGGAGCCACCTGCAGGCCTCAACAGCCAGTCGGAAGCACCACAAAAGCGAGAAGGTTGACACGATTGTTTTTCCTCAGGCCTTGGAAGGGTTCTGCCCTCTCGGGGGCGTTCTTGCAAGGCTCCGTGGCCACCTGGGGCGGTCTTGGGGGCATTTTGGAAGCAGTGGGGGGCTATCCTTGAGCCATCTTGGGCTGTCTCGTGAGATCTTGCAGGTCGGCCCAGGCTTTCTGAGGCCATCTCGGACGCTCTGACCGCTCGCGACCCCCACCCTTCAGCACTTTAAACGGAGAAGGTTAAAGGCGAGATATAAATCGAGCATGTACCGCTGCCGTGCCTGGCTCAAGCCGGGCCCGGCAAGATATGTGACTGTGCCTCACTGAGGCGCACTACTTGCATCCGAGATCGGAAAACATCCTTTTCCATTGACGATGCCCATCCTACTCTTTACTCCAGATCCCATGCTTCGTCTCGCTCTCTTGCTCATGCGCTATGAGCCTAAGCCTGGGATATGGAAGCGCCTAAGGCGGACTGTATACCTAAGCTTACCAGCTTGTTTTCGACTTGGTAGCGGAGCTGGCTACACTCTCGTGTGGCTGGCTCTCGCTCTGATTCCTGTAATCCACGGCACAACTTGGTGGACTACTACTACGGTGGAATACCATGTTGCGCCGGCTCTGCGAGGAGCGGAGCCAGTCCGCGATCGAGCTAGCGGGGCAACCCGCGAACTCGAGACGCTCTCTCCTACTTCACTGCGCTACTTCACTCCCGACTTCCACCAGATGCCAATCGGCAACTCGATCGAGAACGTGGTCACCCTGCGGGGCTA